TTGGAACTCCAGTTCTTTCACCCAGTGTGTGTCTTTTGTTGATTTTAGATATGTGCCTTGGACTGGTTCCCCTTTCAGTCCGCTGCTCTTGACTGGTCTGCCTCCCTGTCCCCGTTCCTGATCTCACTTCCCGGTAACATCGTTCCCCTTCCCTCTGCTCCATTGAGGACACTGTCACATTTAAGTGTGGGGGGTTCTTTATATTAATTGGAACGTATATGTGTGCTTGGAGCCTAGTCCGCTGTCTAAATCTCGAGATTTGAGGGCTCCAAGCATGGCTGTTTGCTTGATGTTTGATCGTATTGGCACTGTGGATGTGATTAGTGAATTGAATGGCTTTTGACTTGATGCATGACAACTTGAGTGTGACTAAGACAGCTTATTATGATGACTGAGATGTGCAGTAAGAATTGTGTAGGGGTTCAGTTTTCAACTGTTTGCTTACCAAATGTGACTTGGATTGATCATTTGCTTTTGACAGTCATTTATGCATCTAGTTCAGGGAATCAGAACGAGAGATAGAGCATATAGGTAGCCATGTGAGATTTGAGCCTGCTCGTTTCTTTCTTGTGCGATAGTTCCCTCTTCCATGATATGCAGCATTCACGTTGTCATTAGCTAGGATGATGGAGGCATAGGATTAGCCCACGACCAAATTGACTGTCCTGGTGTGTCATACCCCCTAGTCAGCCCTTTGAGCCGTGTGTTACCCTTTCTTTCGGTCTGCAATGAAAAATCACCCTTTTGCTTCTCTTAGAAGGTTCCACAGAGTAGTTTTTACATGTTCTCTGCTGTTTCTGCTAAATATAAAGTGAGAGTTGGAGGTAGTTCTTAAAAAGTCGGGCAGGTGTTTGAAAAATGTGCAGCGGTGGTGGTTCTCTTAAGAAATGAAAAAAAAATGAAAGAAAAACAAGGAAAATAATGAAAGCAAAAGAGAGCCACCTCTAAAAATCTAAATAGTGCCCACTACGTAGTGTATCTTAGCAGTCTGGCTTAGAAATACTAGCATTTATGTGACCTCTTTCGCTCTTGTGCTCTGAAGAATTTGAGTAATGCAGAATAGCAGAAAGAAAGTTATTAGTTTGATTGACTGTGAGTTTGTTGGGTTTGGAAATGTGGAACCTTGTGCTATAAATACTTCCACCACCTAAAAGGCCTTTTCCCCATGTCCAAGACCCTAGTCAGTCATCTGAACCTGTGTCTAAGACCTCCGGATTAGTTAGTGGTGACACCCCATATGCGAACTCTAGCATTTAGAGGCTGCATTCATGGTGAAGAGACGTTAGGGATTGAGAGAATAAGCATGCACATTTTTCGCATCAAATTGTCCTGACCCCACTGGTCGAGAGTGAGCAATTCATTTTCTCATATTCTCTATACTCTTTATCCCGGTGAGGACCTAGATTGCTCGGTCTTAATCTGATATCTTGAGCTTTGTGCATGAAGTGAATGTTTTGAATAAGTGGTTGAGTCAAGTCTATGATGGTTGGTGAACAGAAGGGAACTCTTCCTTTGCTCGACTTTATTGCATTCGAAGGTCATCTGTGGTGGTTGTCTAGGTTGTCGTTGGAGTTGCCATGTGTTAATGATTGAAATCCGGTATGATCCACGTGTTTTGTGCCGATATGATATGCCCTAAAGCCTGCTTGATTGAAACGTTTTGAGCTTACCTGGTGTCTGACTTGGTTTGCTTGGGGGCAAGGAAACGGTTAAGTGTGGGGGAATTTGATAACGATGTAATTGCACATATTTGCACCCCTAGTTCTTATCCGTTTGTGGGGCATAGTCGTGTATTTTTGGCCTATCTTTCGCCGGGTTGTGCTTCTTTGTCATATTTCAGGTCCCAGACGTCGAAGGAAAGGCTAAGCACGAGTTACGGGGCATTCGGAAGTTATTCGGTCGAGCTGGAGCCAAAACACGGGCACGCCTAAATCAAAGCACGGCCGTGTTCCTGGATCGTGTTTTTACTGTCGAGGCTTGATCCAAGACTGTCAAACACTAGCTCAAAACACGGGCGGGACTGACCCAAAACACGGCCGTGTCCATCATAAAGCACGCCCGTGTTTTCCCAAAGTAGCGGCCGAGGTTTTTAACACGTGGCAAGGGCATGGGCGGGCTGGAGCAAAGCACGGCCGTTCCCTCGACCGTGTTTTGCCCAGTGATGCCCTTTTAGGCAGATTTCAGCCAAAAGAGAAGGGGATTCGAGTTTTAGAGAGACAGAGCGAATCCTAGAGAGAGAAAGCGACGAACAAGAGTTTCCAAGTGCTGTAGCTTGATATACATCACCATTGGAGCCTTGCTTGAGCTTGGAGGAGTGCCGATCGACGCCCAGGAGCAGAAATCGATCCTTCACATTATGGTTTCCGCATCTGAATCTGCTTTTGCTTCTTTCTCCATGGAGTAGTTCTCCCATTCATCTGGGTATGGGAAACCCTAGATTTGTATGTTAGGTTTGATTGTATGAACCCAAGTACAGATTCTATGATTTGATTATATTTAATTGAGGTTTGAATGATTGAATGGCATGAATCCTGATCAAATTCCTGTTGTTTCTGCTTTAACCTAGAAAGAGAATTTCTGCCTAGGTTGATAGAGCACCCTTACTTGAAGGTAGTGAATTGGCGACTTTAGTCGAGGAGCCAATTCACTATTATGTACAGAATTTACTTCGGCAGTGGAGGTTTTGTTCGTTAGGGCCTCAATCTGTTTACTCCAGTGGAGGTTAGTCGCCCGCTAGAGACTCAGATTGAGAGGGTCTGGAGACCTTTAGTCGAGACTTCAGACTGTTTAAGAACCTTCCGCAGTATAACTATCATAGAAATTAAACTTGGTAAATTGCAATCCGGCTTAACTGCAGTCTAGGGGGAACCATATCCGGGCGACCTCTCTCGACTTGAAACAATCGTTTAACTTGCTTTGTGTCTTTGTTTGTTTGAACCTGCACTTAAGTTTTACCGCTAGATAATAAGAATTCACTGAGTAGTCATTATATCTAGGACCCGGGTTGACATTAAAACCCAAACCGGCCAATATAATCTAACTCCTCTTCCCATTCCATCGAAACTCTCTTCATAGCTATTTCTCCACATTTGCTTCCTTCTCCAAAATCAGACGAACCTCTTTGACTTTCGAATCGCTCAATGAGCCTAAAACCCGTGCCACCACCTGATTCTTTGAGGATGGTTGTAGCCCCGAAACCTAACGCAATGTAAGAAAGGATCTCAATATGATTCGATCCAAACAAGCCCCAACACCAGTCAAGTTGCAGAAGTGCGACGGTGGTAGCGAAGGCACTCAATAAGTAAAGGGAAGATAATTAAAACAAATAATTAAAAATGATTTCTATTTTTTTGTTGAAAATTAATTCTATAATAATTAAGATAAAAGGGCAATATAGTCCTTTCGTACGTTATTTAACGTTAAGTTGACAGAAGGATATATTTGTTGCATTGTAATAGAAGAATGATATGTTTGTGCAAAATAATATTGAAATGGTACATTGGTTAATTTGCAATAATAAAAAGGATATTGAACCATAAAAATATTAATAAATAATATAGTTGTCATGCCGGCCGGCATGCCACCGATTGAACCGGGTTCAACCGGTTCTGGCCATGAAACTGGCATGACCCCACCGGTATGACCGGTATGATCGATCTTCAAATTTTTAAGTAAAATGATGTCGTTTCAGTGAATTTAAATATAGTACATATAATTTTATTGAAAATATCATATTTTATTTAAATATCAATATGAATTGTACGTAAATTGTCTTCAAATATGATTAAATTCATTTGAAATTAATGATTTTTTACATTTGTACATATTTTATTAATCGACATGAACCGCCAGAAACCAGTTGTACTACCGGTAGAACCATTCCACTTGATAAACCGACACAACGGTATAAACCGGTTTGACAACCTTGTAAACAAACTGTGCCGGGACCAAAATTAAGACGCAGGCCCAAACAGACCCTAATGCACTAAGCCCCGTCCAATATTCCAACTCTTCCGAACTACTCCGCGTACCGTTCTTCTCATCCACTACTTGTACCTAATCAACCAATTCGGGTCTTGTTGCTCCTCGGAATGAATTAATATCCTAGAGATTGTTGCTCCTCTATTGTAACCAGTGGTTTCTTCCACCGCAAGTAATGAAAAAAAGTGTCCTACTGTAAAAAAAAAGAAAAACCAATTCGGGTCTTCGCAGCAGCTAGGGTTTGGAATAGCCTAGCTTCGGATATGCATAGTACACATCGTCGACGGCGGTATCAGAGTGATCGTCCCGCTCAGTCGACAAGTCCCCTTAACCGGAGACGGCAAGTGGGGTCTGTTAAGTCGGGGAGCATGTTGAGGTGGGGGCAGGCGAATCCGGTCCAGCTACCCACATATCTTCCACAGCGGTATCCGAGTCCTCCTCCCGCTCAGGCGACAATTCCCAATTATAGTGGTGATACGGAGGAGAATTGGTGGCATGCTGCGGTGCTCTTCCGTCATATGGGCTGTCTGTTGCTGTGTTTGGTGGATGCAGATGAGAAGAAAGTAGTCTGGACCGAGCGATTGAGCTGCGCTGATCAAGGTACGGGTTTCGTTTCTTTAGGATCAAAACTCTATGCTTTTGGTCCTGGTAGAAGTTATTACGTTTGTGATCTTGGTGGTGGGGTTACGAGAAACCTCTACAAGTTTCACAAAGCAGGGGAGCTGTGCTCAGCTAAGCCATATCCTATCGTCATTCCCTACGCTAACAGCAAGATATTTATCATCGCTACTGGTTCCCCTTATGAGTTAATGGAAGAAGTTGATCCTCATCATTTATGCGAGGTTTTGGATGTCCATGCGAACGTGACAAGACCTGTGAGTGGTAAACTCCCATTCTATGAAAAGTATGCTCGCGGCAGTGATGGCACGTTTTCCCGGGGTTATACCGTGGTTGGGAATACTGCGTATGTTTCTGTCTTTGCCTATTCAGATGGGACGAATACCAATCCTCCGTATTGCCTTGACATGGTAACTGAAAGGTGGTACCCGCATCAGCAGAAACCTGAGTTCAACTACGTGTTCAACCCTTATGACAACTGGCCAACACTGGGTGAAGTTTGCAAGACTAAGTTGTTTAAGGTGGAGCTGAGTAGGTCTAGCTCTTGCTCTGACAGGCCTCTTGTTTGCATCAAGGTATTGGATTTGAGGATTTCTAAACCAGGAGGACCTGAAAATGTCGACTCTCATGGATTTCAACCACTTGAAGTTCTAAATGATAAGATGAATGCAGTGGAATACCTTTATTTCAAAGAGGCATCTGTTCTTCCTTTGGACAATGTGCATGGTGACTTGTTTTGTCTCTTTTTCCTTTATTATGACATGAAAATGTCCCTTACCCTCCAGCTCTACAACTTCAGATTGTTGATCAACGAATCCCCTCTCTATGGCTGCAAAATCTTGTCTACAACATTATACCAAGACTTTGCTCCACAAGGATTTGTCCCTCAACTCCTTATGACGTCAGGCGGCTATATGATCTGTAACTATGACATTCTGTAAAGGCCGGCTCGACCACATTATTATGAGCCTTGGGAGATCGCTCATATTGGGAGTAAGTCCATTTCCTAATAATTTCTCCTAGTGCCATACTGGATTTATTTTTATCTTAGCGCAGCATCCTCCGTCGTTGTCACTGCTAGTGAATATTATGCATTTTTAGTTGTTATGTGACGGAAACCTGATCATCTCCAGTGGCTGCCTCTGCCATGATCTTTAGTTTATCTATACATGTTGCACCGTATACTTTCTAAATGTCGGTTTTTTTTTGCATTATCTATTTCCGGTTGATTGTTGGCTTGTCACTAGTGAATATTATGCTTTTTAGTTCTGTGACACAGACCCGACGACCTTCAGTGGCTTCATTGTCATGCTCTTTAGTTTATCTACACATGTTGCACCATATACTTTCTAAATGTCTGATTTCTGTTTCTTTGTATTTTCTATTTCCAGTTGGTTGTTGGTTTGACAGCCTGGTGCTGAGGATGAGGTTAAGTGTTCTAGAGTACTATGCCGCAGCTTGGAGGAGGATTGGTGATCTCATGGACGCTTATTTTCCATGTTGCTGTCTATCTATCCTTCTCTCATGTGTCTTCAACTGCCCTTGTTGTGAAAGAAACTGTTCCCTGGGTTGACTTCCCTCTATTAACATCTCTTGTCTGAAATATGTTGAACGTATCTGGATTCCCTTCTGCTTTTCCTTCACTTTTCCTATGGCCGATGATGTTGATGTTAACTCTTATATTTCATGCAATGTACCGTGTTGGTTGTTGGCAGCGGTGTTGTGTGTATTGTTTGGGCTAGCCTGGGAAGGCCTATTTCATCGGCCCGGCACGTTAAGACAAGCTAGGAGCCATATTTTTTTCTTTTTCTTTTAAGAAAATGGAATCTTTGTGTGGCCCAACCTTTATGCATTAACAAAATCGAGTGACTCAACTCCAATCTGTGCGATCTAATCAAAGGACAACCGATAACCAAGAGAATGACGGGGTGTAAAATAAATATGTTGCCCTACGGGCACAAAGTTGGCCTCTCAATCAAGTGCTTGACTGTAAGTCAATCCAACTCTAAAAGAACTTTACTAACCCCCAATTCTTGGGCAATCTTGAGGCCATACAAAATACCAGCTAGCTTTGCACGTGTTTTTGCTAAAAATGCTCTAAGCGGCCGTTGTCTCCCCTTAAAATACTGAAAGTTGTGGTTCTAGAAGGAGGGTGAACGGTAAACCATATGTATTGAGATTGGTCCAACCATGCTGCGGTGGCCTCCATGATATTAGTCGTCGTGAAACACCCTAATCCGGCCAGGTACTATTTTTACTAAAATGCCCTTGATAAATAAAATACTCAAATCTTAAATTGCAGTGGGAAAAATATTCATAAATAAAATACTGAAAACACACACTTGTAGTTCAGAGCAAAACCCTAACATGTGGGCAAATTAAACTCAAACTTTAAAATCTCAATCTGATCTCCAGTATATACTCATAATCATAACATGCAGATAACTAGGTAGTCTCTGTCGTTGCTGCTACCGAAAATCTTAACTTGGCATCCTCCGTGACGCTTACACTGCCCTTCTCTAGCTGGCTGCCCTCGAACTTGCTGCTCACTAACTACTCCTCTAGCTCCTTCTCTAGCTCGTCAAACTGGTGAGTGAGATGGGGTCAGTCTACGCCCTTACGTTAAAATCTATAGTACTTTAGCATTCTTCTCTAAACACTTAACTTCTACTAGTGGATGTCGTTTTGTACTTCCACTCTTAACAATCTTAACTCATAAAATTCTTCGGGAGTTAAAGTTACTCTTCCTTCTTAAAGCTCAAAACTTGACTTAAATCTTTTGACTGACAAGGGGATCCCTCACTAGCTAGTCCGGTTGCCCAACTCATACGTATGAGAAGCCATCTAGCCTTTCTTTAAACTTAGGTCACCCAATTCGTGGGTTTAGGTCCCGCGATCCCGCTCTAGAGCGGCGAAACGCGAACTTTTGAAGATCCGTAAAAAAAGTCGCGAATTGCTGAATCTGAGAGCGCGGCTTTAATTTTGCATAGCGCAATTCCTTGGAGAACTCGCACATAGGAGGCTACGGGAGGTTGGTGAAGGGCCAACAACTATTGGCAATAGACTGAGATTCTTTTGCAGTAAGAGGAGTAAAATCACTTAGGGTAAAATTGCAGAAGAGAGCATGCAAAACCCAGGTCAGGTCTGATCCCTTTTGCGGTATGAGTGTGCGGTGATTCTTCGCCACCAGCAAGACTCGAGAAACGTCGGCGATCCTTTGCCCCTTCGTCTCCTTTCTCCAAAGACACTATGTCCTTTCCATTGCCACCGCCATCCACTAGAGAGGAATCTATTGCCTAGCCTTGGATGCGGAAATCTAAGGAAGGCTGCTAAGGAAGAACAACGGCAGGCAGAGAAGGTAGCGATTTGGGTGGTTCTACAGAGAAGGCGAAGAAATGGCTACTATTATAACTAAATTAAAAGAAATCCTAAGCTGATTGAATGCCTCTGTTAAAATGAATCGGCCATCCAAAATAGGAAAGGAGAGATGCATGCAAGGAAAATGTTTTCAGATTGCAATCACTGGTCGTCAAGAAGGAAAATGAAAGAGAAAAGGAAACGCAGAGAGGAGAGAAGGGGAAATAATAAAAGGGTATCCTATTGTGGGTTAGCATCTTTTTCATATAATTTTTTGGGTATTTGTATTTTTTATATATTTTTTATTATAAGAATGTAGTATTTATTGCTTAATTATATTTTAAAAATAATTAAGTAATATAATATTGACGCTCTATTCACTCTCCTAATATAGAATTCTTTAAAAGTCGACGCTTTAACGCTCCCGCTCTCGCTATCGCTTTACGCTCTGGTTACCTAACCTTAAACTTAAACTTAGTTAGGGAAGTCGCAACGATTCATCCCCCTAACATCTTAAACTTATCATGGTGGCTCTTCACCACGTTTCTCAAGGGCATAACTGCTGCCCATCTTAAAAGTCTCAAGAGCATAACTGCTGCTCTATCTCAAAATGTCTCAAACGGCAACGGACTGGCGCCAGTGACTAAAAACACTTAAAACGACTTCACCTTCTTAAAGGTGAGTTACTTTTTAAAAAGAACTTGTTTCTTAAACTTTAACAATAAATTAAACATAACGCTTTAAGGTAAATAGCACAAAATCACCTCAAACCGTAACTCAAGCAAAGCACACATAATCAATCATACACATAACCAAGCAACGGTAACCAATTCGCTAAAATACATAAAATCATAATACTTAAAATAATACGTAAGGCGTATAATTTACCCCCTTTACACTCACCTGACTATATAGTTAAAATTCATCGGCTTCATGAGCTAGGTACTCCAAAAGATGTCATGGAACAACGTTGATTTTCCTGCTCGACTAGGGTTTTCTGGTGCTTGCTTGCATTTTCTGGGCGGCGTGCTGCTTCTTCTTTTTCTGGTGACCGTCATCGTTGGTTGTCCTGGATCTCAGGTTTTCAGCGGGCTTAATTATTCTGCCCGTCTATTTATTATACGAGCGCCCCCTGCTCGACTGCTTCCTTTTTCTGGTCGGCGTCTCCTGCCTTCCTTCTGCTCGTGCTTCATCTTTTGTTCCTGATATGTCTTGGTAATATTCTCTGCTTGTTTGGCTTGGGTATGTGCTTCCTCTTCTTGGTTTATTATTCTCTACTTGGTATTATTCCTCTCGGCTTGCTCTTCTTGCGCGATTGTATTCTAGGCTGGTGTGCTTGGTTCCTTGTTCTGCTTCTTCATTACTCTTTTGGGAAAGATGCAGGGCTTTTGAGGTGTGGGAAGAGCTTCCATCGGGCTTCTTTGGCCGAGAGCCGCTGGGGAGAGCGGTTTCCTTCTTTCCCATCTTCTTCTTCTCGCCGCCGAGGTTAAAGTGAGGGGTGGGGAATAATTGATGGCCGCTCGGCCCTCTAGGTTTATATATCTAATTTTTTTTATTTATAGTAATAATAATAATACTAGTTATTTTCATTAGTCCTAATCCACGGTTGTAACTCTTAGTACGTAACCGTCAATCCAACCGATCAAGTATTAAGGTCGAACCTGAACCCAAAATTCGGGGTGTTACATTTCCTCCACCCTTATAAAAATTTCATCCCCAAAATTTGCTCGAAACCCATCCTTCTATCATTTATATTTCCTCAGCTGGTAGCATTCGTGTAACCTTCAGTGACTCCCTACCCTTTTTGTTTCACAACTTGATCCAAAAGTGATGAAACAAAATGCTGATTTGACTGGACATGTTGACTGAGTCTCCTGGTAGTTGATGTTGAACCCAAGTCCAGAATCGAGATATCACATTTTCCCCCTCCTTAAGAAAAATTTTGACCTCGAAATTTGTTTATCTTGATAACCCAAAGTCCCACTTGAGGTAATCCTTCCACTACAGGGATTTATACTTCATTTACTTTGTACAACCTTGAGCTATGATTCCTTCCCTCCAATTCGTGTGGTTCTTCCCCAACTAATTACTCACCCATTTTTCAGAAATCTCTTGCTCAAGCTAGTTACTTGCCCAATGCGTCTATGGCACTATGGCACTCTCCCTTCTTAAATGCCTATGATGGTGTAATGGCATTCGTAGCTCTTGTTGTTCTCAACGATTTGTCTTGGGTCTCTACTTAGGATTCCTTAAGAACTTAAGGAAATAAATTATTAGCCAGCCATTCAGGTCGTGACTCGTCGTAACTTTAGCTCATAACAGGTCCAAACCTGAACTTCGTCCCCCCTATCTTGACTGCTGACGACTCTCCTAGGTATAGAATGTCTTAAGAGAATGTCTGACCTGCATAATAATTGACTCCGATGCTGGTTCCTAGGTATCACTTCTTCTCCCTTTATAAGCCTCGTTATTCTCCTCTTTGATAACTCCACTTGGTACGCACATTTGATGCCTGATTCACCATATATGGTTCATTTAGCATGAGAAAATCCCTTACACATCCCTATTGATGTTCTTAATACCCCTTTCAACCCAAAGGTTACTAATGGCGGCTTAACCTCCATCTTGTTATATCGCAAAACTCTTTTAACATAACCTCATCTATGGTTGACTACGTAGATCACCTTGGTCCTTGTACCTTCTGCCTTTGAATCTCTTACTTTCTTCTAGGATTCTTTGTCTCTCCCTTTAGCCATCGACCGAATGGTCATCTCCTCGTTACTTGTTGCTTAGCGCTGAAACCTCATCTTACAGCTTTTACTTTCTGTATGCATTAGAGGCATCCTTTGCATCTTTCTCTAGCTTGCGATCCTTTCAAGAATCATGGCATTCTCTCAAGCTTACTTGTTCACTCCTGACGGTGACAGGGACATGGCGACCTGACCTTCGGTGACCATTGATGACTAAAATCGGTAGGAGACTTGGTGCATCGGCTGGATTTGACGGCAGATCTAGAGATCTCGTCATGTAATTGACGGCGACGGTACGGAGTCGAAGCCGGAGTTGACATCGGCTGCGATGAGGAAGCAAGACGCAACGGCGGGAGGGACTTTGCTTGCTGAACCTCTTCTGTCTTCGATGAACAGGACTTGGGATGCGGAAAGCTTCGTTGAGACGAAGAACATCCGAGCAGCAGGAGACAAGTGACGATCCGGACGGGAATTGCATTGGACCAGCTATGAGCAATTCCCTCGGTACTCATGGCGGCGGAAATAGACGTAGATTGATCTGGGAAAGAGACTGCGGAAGATTGCAAAACCCTG